TTCTGGCTGTAGGGACGGGAGGGGGGCTGTAGGGAGGGGGGAGGGAAGAGACCCCGTCACCCTGCTCCTCTGTAGCCTGCTCCCCGCCCTGAGCATCACCCCAGTTGTCTGGCAAAGCAGCCCCCGCAAGTCTCCTTCCCCCGTCCCCAGCTTCTGCATGGCCCTGGGGCTCCCCGGTTTAGCCCGGTCTCCACGTGGGCGCTGGGCCAGGCCCCGGGGAACCTTAACAAGGGAGCGGGGGTGCCAGGACACCTGGGTTCTCCACCAGCTCCGTGCCTCAGTTTCCCTGTATACCTAAGGGGGCCCTCTTTGCCCTGCCCTGCGGGAGGAGAGCAGGTGCAAGTCTCAGCGCTCCTCTGCGGCTCTGAGACCCTGGCGGGACATGGCCATGGAGGGGCTGGTTAGAATCGGCCCTGCTCCCCGGCTGGGGGCCTTGGCTGGGGCGCTGGCTCTGCCTCGCCCGCTCCGGTTTCTGGTGCCTCCACCCCTGGGCTGGCGGGAGACTCTAGGGAACGTCCGTGGCCGCAGGGAGGTTTGGGTTGGACGTGGGGACGATCCGGCCTGTCGGGGCGCAGCGCTGGGCTGTTGCCTGGGGGTTGAGCTCAGGTTGGGCTGACGCCTGCCAGGGAGGGAGACGGGCTCGGCCCTGCGCGAGGGCCCTTCCCATTCGGGGACCGCAGCCGCCCAGCAGCGCGTTCGTGAGGCGCCCGGGCTCTCGAGTGCTGCGGGGGGAGCGACGCTCCCAGGCGCCAGGGGGGTGAACCCGAGCGGGGATCAGCAGGGTTACAGCCACAGCTCGGTGGAGCCAGTGACCCCTCGGCCCACCCCCCAGTACGTCACTCGAGCGACAGGGACCTTCTAGCTGGGCTCCAACTTCAGGGCTTGCTGCGACTGGCTGGGGAGTCAGTCACGTGCTGTGCCTCAGTTTCCCCCTCTGTCAAAGGAGGGCTGCCTTTGCCCAGGTTCCCTGGGTCTGTTCCGGCTGGATCCCAAAGCTCTAGGTGATGAATCTCTCGCTGGCCGGTCTGTG